TTAGTAGCCTATTTTCTTATCAGAAATGTAAACATACTCTAGTATCTGCAAAATCTAAATGTGTGTAACAAGGTTTTCAACAAGCACAAAACAGAGGTGAAAGATACCAAAGGAATATTCAAACTCATAAGTCGAAAACGAACAGACAATGCCATGACAAAAACCGAAAAACAACCAAAAGTCAAACAACAGTATATAAAACACAACACAGAAAACTAGAGACTGAGCAACAGAAACCCAACAAAAAGATCTCAGGTCTTCCAGACGGGTTAACAGATCCTGCTCCACATGTGACACGACACCAGTCACATGATACAGTGAACATGTGAAAAGTGCCAGATAAAATACCGTAACTGTTTGTACATGTTAATTTTACAGCCATTAGGTCCGAGTACACAGTTATTTCGTAGTGCATTTCTTTTAGACAATAAATGAAAATAAAAAAAATCCCACCTGCGCTTTCTCAATAATATTTTTACAGTGTGTTGTACTACTTTTGGGACAAATCATATCAAAATTATAGAAAACTTCATCGGCTCTAACTCAAAATATGGACAATTCTATGTTAAGGGGGTCTTGAAATCTTTTGACAGCTTCCGAAGTGCTAATTTTTAACCTTTTTCAGCTGGACCAAATCACTACTTAACTTTACAATTCATGACCCAAATTTTTTTACAGAGTAATTTCATCCCCCTACTTGCTATTTGAGGCATAAAACATGAAGGAATACATTTGGAAGGGGTACTAAAAAAATTGGCAAGCAACACACTGTCCACACTAGGGACTTTATTCGTGGACAACGAAAATCAAAGGACGATAACTGTGTACTCGGACCTAACAGGATAGAAAAATTTGACCAATCTTAATAAAACTTGGTATGACTAAAGCTTAATAAATTATGAGACTGCTGACAAAGTTTCATGGCAATAGGATATATATTATAGACAATATGATAAATTCTATATTCAACTTTGCGTGTTAAATTTTGACGTTTAAATTGAAAAATTTCAACTATCAACATTTGGGGCTTTAAAAATCAAAAAATTGCAAAAAATTACATTTTAAAGGCCTTAATATATGACATATTATCTATTTAAAGCAATAGAATACTCATTTGATTTATCAGACTTATCACAATTATTTAAAAGTCAAATTTATATGAGCCTGTGCCAAAAAATGGAGGTTTTCCAATGAAGGGGGGCCTTACATGAAGATGTATTATTTTCCAGCAATTTTAAATTTGTGGAGTTTTTTGGTTATAAATAATCCTTACATATGTATTAAATGTACTTTAAATGGAAAGAAAAATTACAAATAGCATACCATATTAGTATAAAAGGGTCTTAAGCCAAGTAAGACTGAAAATAATTTAGGGTCAATTTAGGCCGTAGCACATATTTACATTTAAAAATGCATACTGAAGCTATAGGAAATAAAAATTTGTGTCTTTTTTATAATTTCTATACTCAGGTTACATGATACAATAAATCTGAGCATAAAAGGACTTTTGCATTCAACTTTTTTTGCAGACAGTATAGTCTGATACAAAGATTTTTCACTTTTTAGTGAAAAACTTGCATGCAATTTTAGCCTCAGCAGGCTTATATTTGAACCACTTGCTATTTAACATAAGAAAAGAAAGATACTATGTGAAATGAAACAGGTACAAAAGACATTGTGAAGTGCTTTTAATACAAATTTAGTGAAATCTTTATTATGGACTTCAACTTTTATGTACCTAGGTCCTCACATTTAACTTGATCCAAACAGGCCGTTACACGAGGGTCATTTATACAACACATTTTGCACATATTGTCTGAGATAATCTTATTTTCTGTAGATTCAGAGTTCACAAATGAGTAATACAACTGGGTTAAAGCATAGAAACACAAATATTGAAACAGGAAAACCTGTCACATAGAAAGTCAGAATGCCACTTATGCATCAAAATTGAAAAAGCTTTGAAATGCTTATTTTGACCATATAATGCCAAAATGGATAATTTTTGCAGAATTTCTATCAAATAAAAGTTTAAATCCTTTAGTTTCATGCTATCTGACAAATTGATACCATTAAATCATTCAGGGAAGTTGCCAAAGTACAGATTCTATATTTACTGATTTCGCCTCTTAGGTCCGAGTACACAGTTATTTCGTAGTGCATTTCTTTTAGACAATAAATGAAAATAAAAAAAATCCCACCTGCGCTTTCTCAATAATATTTTTACAGTGTGTTGTACTACTTTTGGGACAAATCATATCAAAATTATAGAAAACTTCATCGGCTCTAACTCAAAATATGGACAATTCTATGTTAAGGGGGTCTTGAAATCTTTTGACAGCTTCCGAAGTGCTAATTTTTAACCTTTTTCAGCTGGACCAAATCACTACTTAACTTTACAATTCATGACCCAAATTTTTTTACAGTGTAATTTCATCCCCCTACTTGCTATTTGAGGCATAAAACATGAAGGAATATATTTGGAAGGGGTACTAAAAAAATTGGCAAGCAACACACTGTCCACACTAGGGACTTTATTCGTGGACAACGAAAATCAAAGGACGATAACTGTGTACTCGGACCATTAGCCTGCATGTCACCCATTAACTATCAGTATATATTACAGGTAACAATTTTTGTGTCCCAAATATGTTCTTTTGTTCCTAACATATTTAATTAACCATTAGCATTTGTAACCTATTTTTTTTCTCATTTTTATTATGTCACAACAAACATAACTCTCAATTTCCTTCAAACATTAAAGTAACATTTACCTGAGAGACCCTTTCGGCAAACCTCAGCAGATTCTGGTGCCCTACATCAATTTTAGATATATAATATGGCGAGGTGTGCCAAATGCTAACATAGAAAAGGGACACAACTCTGTCTGCTTGATATGGATATCAGCAGGAATATTCAAAATGAGGAAACTGTGTGATATGTACAAGTTTACTTTGAATGAATTAATGAATGAATGAATTTATTTTCATAAAAGAACCAATGTCCCCCGGGTTGCACATATTTTATCTTTCCAAGGCAATTACAAAATCAATGTTAGATATATAATATGGCGAGGTGTGCCAAATGCTAACATAGAAAAGGGACACAACTCTGTCTGCTTGATATGGATATCAGCGGGAATATTCAAAATGAGGAAACTGTGTGATATGTACAAGTTACTTTGAATGAATTAATGAATGAATGAATTTATTTTCATAAAAGAACCAATGTCCCCCGGGTTGCACATATTTTATCTTTCCATGGCATTTACAAAATAAAATCTTTTTTTGTTCTTTTAAACTTAATAAATATCTTAGAGAAATGAAGGCTTGAGAGCAAATACAATGCAATTTCCAATATACTTAATATTTCCAAGGGCATAACTCTTTTAAAAATAAATGATCAGCACCAATTTTCGAACTTGTCCAAGATATTAGTGATATAAACCTATGATATAAATTTCATAAAAATCTAGCAAGAATTGTACACATGAGAGTGCTAACAATGCAATTTTCAATACAATTAATTTTGCAAAGGGGCACAACTCTTTAAAAATAATTGATCGTCACCAACTTTCGAACTTGTCCGAGACATTGCTGATACATGTATAAACCTATGATATTAAGTCTCATAAAAATCAGGCAAGAATTGTACACATGAGAGCCCTTACAATGTAATTTTTCATATAATTAATATTTCAAATGGGTCTGACTCTTGCAAAAATAATTGATTGGCACCAATTTTCGAAATTGTATGAGACATTGCTGATATAAACCTATGATATAAGTTTCATAAAAATCTGGCAAGAATTGTACACATGAGAGCGCTAACAATGAAATTTCCATATAATGAATATTTCCAAGGGCATAACTCTTTGAACAATAGTTGATGAGCACTGATTTTCAAACTTGTCCGACACGTTGCTGATATTAACCTATGATGTTAGTTTTATAAAAATCTGGCAAGAATTGTACACGTGAGAGCGCTAACAAGACTGGACGGATAGATGCACGGACGGACGCCCAGTATTTCTATGTCTGCCGCAACACGTCGTGCGGGGGACAAATAAACAGCTGCACCATGAGCGCATGATACGCCCGTCACTTTTTCAAAGAATAATGTTCCATAACTCCTCAATGTCATATCAGAAATTTATAAAAAACTAAAGGGAGGTTATTTTAATAGATATAAACCAGTCACCAAAGTTTCATGAAAACTGCTCAAAGCACTTTTGAGTTATTGTCCGAAAACTGGAAAATCCCCCTTTTTTAATGAATAAAACCCCATAACTCGGAAACGTAAAATCCAAAATTTAGATATATCAAAAGGGAACTCACGTCAATAGATATAAATAATTCATCAAAGTTTCATGAAAACTGCAAAAGCACTTTTGAGTTATTGTCAGAAAACTGAAAAATCCCCCCTTTTTTTTAATGAGTAAAACCCCATAACTCCGAAACGTAAAATCTAAAATTTATAAAAATCGAAAGGGAGCTCACGTCAATAGATATAAACAATTCACCAAAGTTTCATGAAAACTGCTTAAAGCATTTTTGAGTTCTTGTCCGAAAACTGGAAAACCCCCCTTTTTTTAATGAATAACACCCCATAACTCTGAAACGTAAAATCTAAAACTTATTAAAATCGAAAGGGAGCTCATGTCAATATATATAAACAATTCACCAAAGTTTCATGCAAATTGGTTCAAGAGTTTTTGAGTTATTGTACGACATGTTGACGACGGACAGACAACAGTATACCATAATAAGTACCGTAAAACGGGCGTATAAAAAGCATATACATGCTATGGCAAAAAATTATTACAAATTTCACATAAAGATAAACAGCAGAGGACAACAAACATGATATAATGTTAATTAATAATATGACATCTCATTTTCCATGCTGCCTTCAGATAATTACATAGATTTGTAGTCAAGAGATTTTAATTGGCAGCTTTTAACTACGGTATTGATCAGGTATATAGATATTTGGCCAAGAAGAGTAGAATTTTTATTAAATTGATTATTCAAATATATTAACAAAATAAACCTCGAATTAGCCGTATTCTACTAATAAATTTGTTATTCTTTTATGTTCTGATTTATTTGTCATGCTCCTATGAAAAAAAGGGGAATTTAGGCACAAATGTTCTTATTTCTTTGGTTCATATTTTGTTTTGTGCACAACAACTGTAAACAATTTCATCCCTGTACTAACCAAACTTTTTTAGTTTTTGTGTTCACGAAGTTCTTGAAGGACAGAGTGAAATTGTACAGCTTCCACATTGATCCCTAAAGAGATGTGTAAGTTACATAGTTTAGGCAATACATGCAATTTGACATTCTTTGTCTAAGTACATTACTCCTTTAATATACAGCATTCATTGTCTGTTTGTTCAGAATCTTGATCCTCTGTTTTAATTTTATTTGCTACATCCTTTAATTGTTCTTTAATCTTAAAAAAGTCTTTGACTTTCTGTACTAAGCCTTTCATTTCTGTAGATTCCACAACTTTAAACTGTCTTGTTGTTAAATTATGCAATGATCCAAATGCTATTGCTACAACGGTGCATGCCAAACAAATGACATTATAGGGCATACTGAAGTCTGGTGTTGGCAGAGATACCAGTAATGTTTCTGTGTGTATTCTTATGAAAAACTCGGAGGATTTGTCTTCAAAACTGAAAAGGATAAGTATGTTTATTATTCATGTCCATCTTAAATGAGTGCTTTTTTCAATATACAATCAAAATGTAATTATATCTATATCACTACATTTCTGTATTTATAACAAGAAAATAACAGCCCATTCTCATAGAAAATAGAATTTATTGTGGTAAAAGAAAATATTTTGTCAAGAATACAATAAACAGCCATCAATAATCATCTTTGATATTTTAAACTGTTAAATACAAACTCCACTTGTGTTGTGTAGCAACATTTCCAAATTCAATTCAAGATTTTAATTGAACGGAAATCTATTCAGGGGTGAACAAAATATATGGATGGATGTACAAACAGGATAGGCATTGTTGGCATAATAAATTATATTCTATGAAAATTCCTAGACTATCTTATTTAAGAATATAACATATAATTTGTCATTTTCAAGGTATTTTGAGCATTTTGGTCAGTTTGAAAAAGCAAAAATTAGAATCAATAAGAAATGTGTCCATACCTTATATCCATTTTTTTCTGCACCAAGGCAGGGAACAAGTATGCATTTTATTTTGGTCTGACATAAACCACAAGCTATGAATTTAAAAACCAATTTATATGAATGTCAGCCTTTTGTCAGGCACTACTGAGAGCAAATAGCACAGATTTGAAATTTAACAAGCATTCTGAGAGTATTGCATGGCAATACATAGTCCCCTACCGGGTAAAAATTCGTTTTACTGGAACAAAATGCTAACTTGTTCTATAACTTGTCATGGTGTAAACAAAAAGGAAATATCATGTCAATATCTTCAAGCATGACAAAAAACAGTGTGGAAAACTGATTATATGAGTGAAAAAAAACATTAGATATGTTTAATAGTTCTCTAAAATTAGATATGATGTATTACAATGTATATCTATTTTCAAATATAATTAATAGTTCCAAATATTTTTTCTTTCATTTGTCACAAACTAATATAGATTTGTAACTTATCTATAAAATGTCAACAACATTTATCTACACAACGTAATGTATTGAAATATATACATTAATAAAAATAGATTATTATCTAATTAAGGGATTTCTCTTCATAAATTTTTTCTTAATATATATATAGCATTCAGAAAATTAGTTTATACTAAATAACAAACAAACCTGCTAAAATATTCTTCAAATAATTTAACAATGAATGTCTTTTAAAAAATGAGATATCTCCCTTTGTACAGAAATATGGTTTAACATAGTACTCTAACATAAGATAAATTATCAGACCGGAACAAAATTCGAACTTAATCTGTAACTTGTCATTATAAAACAATATACCAAATATCAAATCAATATCTTCAAGCATGAAGAAAAAAAGTGTGGAAAGCTGATTTGCCGGACTGACAGAAGGACAGACAGACGGACAGACAGACAGATGGATGGAGTGCAAACCTAAAGTCCCCTTCGACTTCGTCAGTAGGGGACTAATAAAAGTCACTGATGAATTGTAGGAAAAGGTGGCCTATTCAGAATTTCTTATAAGTAGGGTTCTCATATCATACATGACTGTGATTACAAACCTGGATGCAGAGGATATTCCAACAAGCTTGTTCAACTTTGTATCAGTAAACAACAACTTTATTTAACAAATGTGCCAGTGGGAATGCATGGTGTTGTTATAACCAATGTACAATAAATATAAATCAACAAACCTTTGGAATATAGAAACATTTGGCTGTACAGAAATATAATTATCTGCCTTTGGTAATACAGTTGTTATAACAGCAGAGTTTATAGGGAATCCATGATTGGCATCTGGTGGATATTCTGTCCATTTTAAAAATGTCCTCTCAAACAACACATTAATTTTAGTTACAGAATTTGCACGTAGTCTAAATACTACTTCCAGATGATATGATCTACTTCTGTCTTTACCAGGCATATAATGTATTTTGTCTGTAAAAAAATAAGCAAAACATCTAACCTAATCTGAGGAAATACAAATTTTTACTATTTTTAGTCAATTGTTCGAGTCCTACTGGGAAGAGTACTGTAAATTCAGAAATTATTGCAAGGTTTATATTATTGCTAATAATGTGAGAATCGCAATAATAAGAACTCGCATTCTTATATCTGACAGATATATCTGACAGATATATCTGAATGCAGCTTTTCCACAAATCGCAATAATTAATCTCGCATTTTTGTCTATTCTGCAAAAAATCGCAATAATAAATGCCCGCAATAATTTCTGAATTTACAGTATACTGATGATATATTATGTTCCAGAGTCAAATGATATTTCATATTAAAAAAAAAGTTTAAAGTGTTTTATATATACATTTTACTTGAATTGCTAAGTTTTACAATAAATATTTCTATAAAAAGAAAACTCTTCATCTTATCAAAATCTTCAGAAATGTACTGCTATTGAATTGTTGTCTTCCCATACCCTAACCTGCCTATAGCTTTTCTGTATGCAGTGACCTTAACCACGAGACCTCTAGTGAGTACTTTGGCAACCACACAGTACAAGTGCGAGGGAAAAAACCATGATGAAAGAAAAGGTAAAGAAACGTTAGATAGTGTTAAATGATCTTGAAAGAAAATTTTTAATACACCAAATCATTTAATAACTGTTACAGGGGCGGATCCAGCCATTTTTAAATGGGGGGTTCCAACCATATGTCCCCCTTCAAAAGCATTGATTGTTCCAACCCCAAACCCCCCTGGATCCGCCACTGTGTTATGACAAAGTTTAATTAACAAATAGAGACGCATGGAAAATTAAAATTTTTTTTTTGCATGTTTATGATCTCACTTATTTTTCATGTGTTCCATGATCCTGTGTATATTGTTTATTACGGTCACATAAGGTAAACTTCAGCAATAAAACATGAAACTTAATTAGCAGGAGACGTTTTAACTGAATGAAATATTTTTTGTCGATTATATGTTATGCATTCGTAATAAATCTATGTAAACAAGGAATGAGCTGTCAAATTGACAGCAAACCAGGTTTTCTGTATTTTGAAAGGCTCTTTCAGGCATTTTTGACTTGCAACATTCTATGCCTATTTTCCAATCTATCAAGGACCATAACTCCTGAACAGCAAAAAAGAATATGGTCAATATGGAACTTGACCTCCATTTTGACATCAGTAACTGTATATAAAATTTTTAGAGCATTGGTTGAACAGTTCATAAGTAGTTGCATGGAAATGATATAAAGTGCCATTTTCTAATCTATTAAGAACCATAGCTCTTGGATGGCAAAAAATGAAAATCTTCAATATTAAACTTGACAACCATTTCGTCATCAGTAACACCATAATAAAATTTTAAAAGCAGTGGTCAAGTGGTTCATAAGTAATTGCATGGAAAAGACATAAAGTGCCATTTCTCAATAGATCAAGGACCATTACTCCTGAAAGGTAAAGGTAAAAATATTTATAGTCAATATCGAATTTTACCTCAATAATATCATCAGTATAAAAATATTAAAATTTTAAGAGCATAGGTTCTACTTTTCAAAAGTAATTGCACAGAAACAACATGAGGTGCCATTTCTAAATCTATCAAGAACCATAACTCCTGGACGGCAAAGTGAAAAGTATCAATATCTTCCTTCACCTCCATTTTGTCATCAGTAACAACATATTAAAATTTTAAAAGCATTGGTTTACATGGTTTAGTGGTTCTTAAGTTATTGCATGGAAACCACATAAGGTGTAAATTTTCATTAGATCAAGGACCATAACTCCTAAATGGTGAAAATCATCAATATCGAACTTGATCACCATTTTGTTAATACTAACAACATATTACAATTTGAAAAGCATTGGTTGAAGGATTCATAAGTTATTGAATGGAAACAACATAATGTGCCATTTTCCAATACCGGTATATCAAAAAGCATAACTCCTTAACCGTAAAACTGAAAATCGTCAATATTGACCCTGTCCTTCATTTTGTAGTCCATATCAACAAATTAAAATTTGAAAAGCATTGGTTGAAAATTTCTGAAGTTTTTGTAAGGGGGAAACTGTTGGAAGCCGCACAGGGTTAAAAATTGTGCACAGAGAACTTAGTTTAGTTTAAATACATGCATTGGTTTAATAATTTCCTTAACATTATGACTTTAGAAATCTGCCTGCAAGTGTCTGAAATAAAAATCATTAAGCCCTTTCAAGTGAACTAAAATAATCTGTTCACAATTCAATTTGCCATTTTATATTCATCAAAATACATTTATTTTAAATCTGTTGTTTTCCTTCTTCATTCGTTTAAGATATGTGTCATTACAGTTATTTGCCATGTCACGTTCCTAAATATGATTATCAGTGAATTTAACATAAAAGAGATCATGGATTCAAGTAAGAATTCCAGGAGCAACATATAAGCAGAGTTGCGATCTTTATGGGTTTGTAGTAGAAGAAAAAGACTACAGTGTACTATTTCTTTTGTTTTGGTGTCTGTTTAATTTTAGAGATAACATACAGAAACCCAAATTTCTGTCTATCAGTAGCTTGTGTGACCTTGACCTATTGACCATAAAATCAATACAGGTGTTTCTCATTTCAAGGGGTATTAACAAACCAAGTTTGATAAAAGTTGAACATATGGTTGAAACAAGAGTGCACACGCTGAAATGTCTTGCTTGCTTTACTGACCATTGATTTTACGTAGAAAGTCTTAAAGATAAAGGTTTTACTACAAGTATCACATATACTTAACATTTCTAAATATCCATGGCAATGAGATCAAGGTCAGATAATCCTCTCAGACAGACACGTATACCTTACTATTATCATTCAATATACCAAATATAGTTGACCTACTGCTTATGGTAATTGAAAAACAGACCAAAACACAAAAACTTAACATTGACCAATGAACCATGAAATTGAGGCCATGGTCAAATTATACCTGCCAGACAGACATGTCCACCTTACAATCATTCCCTACACCAAATATAGTTGACCTACTGTTTATAGTATTTGAAAAAAACAGACCAAAACACTAAAACTTAACATTGACCAATGAACCATGAAAATGAGGTCAAGGTTGGATTTTACCTGCCAGACAGACATGTACACTTTACAATCATTCCATACACCAAATATGGTTGACCTACTTCTTATAGTATTTGAAAAACAGACCAAAACACAAAAACCATGAACCATGAAAATGAGGTCAAGGTCAGATGAAACCTGCCAGACTGACACGTACTCCTTTGTAACAATCATTTTTGGATCATTTTGATATCTTTGAAATTTTTGGTGGTTTCCATGGCAACATAGTAGTTCCGACGATTGCCAAAATCATCCAAAACCAGAATATAGTAGTCACCTACATTGTATTTAAATTTGATGATTTTAAGTCAAAGCATACCCAAATAATTCACCAAACCCTATAATTTTATTTTTTCATCTTTTTTCGGTTCCCATGGTAACGGCAGCCATTTTTTAGTTCCAAAGTTGCACTGCAACTCGAAAGTCAGGGTTCCTTGTTATAGTGCACCATCATTTAGATTGGTTCCTTTGGCTCTGAGAAAACTGGCGGACAAAATTAGGTGGAAGAAAAATAATAACAAGAAATGATTGTAACAGGATGCTGTTACGAAGTCTCCCAAACGAAACTCCCATAATTCCTAATTCCCAGGGTCGCCTGACATTGGGCAACGTCCAGTGAAAATTGGTTTGGTCCAGTAAAGTTATATGCATTAGTGATGCCTGGGGACTAACCTTGTATATCATTCAAATCATCTTGGCATGACAAACCAGAATATATATGGTTTAGGGGTGGGGATCTTGACCATTTACAAGATACTAGAACATTGGGGGTGGGGAAGAGCCCCTGGGGACTGGCACTATACGTCATTCAAATGTTCATTACATGACAAACAGGAATATATATGGTTTAGGGGTGGGGATCTCAACCATTTACAAGATATTAGAACATTGGGGGTGGGGGGAACCCCTGGGGACTAACCCTGTATATCATTCAAACCATCTCCGCATGACAAACCAGAATATATATGGTTTAGGGGTGGGGATCTTGACCACTTAGAAGATATTAGAACTTTCTTAAATGGCAGGGGGTGGGGGTGACCCCTGGGGACTAACCCTGTATTTCATTTGATGTGCTTCATGACAAACCAGAATATATATATGGTTTAGGGGTGGGGATCTCGACCATTTACAAGATATTAGAACTTTCTCAAATGGCAGGGGGTCGGGATGACCCCTGGGGACTAACCCTGTATATCATTCAAACCATCTTAGCATGACAAACCAGAATATATATGGTTTAGGGGTGGGGATCTTGACCACTTACAAGATATTAAAACTTTCTTAAATGGCAGGGGCTGGGGGTGACCCCTGGGGACTAACCCTGTATTTCATTTGATGTGCTTTATCATGACAAACCAGAATATATATGGTTTAGGGGTGGGGATCTTGACCACTTACAAGATATTAGAACTTTCTTAAATGGCAGGGGGTGGGGGTGACCCCTGGGGACTAACCCTGTATAACATTTGATGTGCTTTATCATGACAAACCAGAATATATATGGTTTAGGGGTGGGGATCTCAACCATTTACAAGATATTAGAACTTTCTCAAATGGCAGGGGGTCGGGATGACCCCTGGGGACTAACCCTGTATATCATTCAAACCATCTTAGCATGACAAACCAGAATATATATGGTTTAGGGGTGGGGATCTTGACCACTTACAAGATATTAGAACTTTCTTAAATGGCAGGGGGTGGGGGTGACCCCTGGGGACTAACCCTGTATTTCATTTGATGTGCTTTATCATGACAAACCAGAATATATATGGTTTAGGGGTGGGGATCTCGACCATTTACAAGATATTAGAACTTTCTCAAATGGCAGGGGGTCGGGATGACCCCTGGGGACTAACCCTGTATATCATTCAAACCATCTTA